ATCAGGGTTGGAGGCCAACTAGTCATAGCAGGACCCTGTCTCAAAAAGAGAATGAAAGTTCCGGCAGGGGAGATAGCTCAGTTGCTAAAGTACTGGCTGTGAAAACGTGGGGACTGGAATTCCACTCCCAAGACCCTTGCAAAACCCCAGGTAGGGTAACACGTACTTGCAAAATCCAGCACCAAAGAAGCAGAGACGGGGAAATCTCTGGGACACACTGGTCAGCTAGCCTAGGGTGACTTACAAGCCCAAGAGAGACCATGTCTCAAGAGGTGTGTGTGTGTGTGCTGCCAGGGTGGGGGGTGTTGACTGAGGACCACACCTGAGGTTGCTTTTGGGCTTCTACATGCATGTGGGCATATATACACACCAAAGTTTTACAAGTTATTACTTACTGTTTAAAAGGGTCCTGAACTGGATGCCAGTGACCCTGAGCCTCACACACAGCCACAGAAAATGCTGTTTGGACCAGACCATCTAGAGAATGACGTGTAGACTATATCATTTAGGAAGGAAGATGTGGATATAGCTAGTTACACTCCACCATCACCAATACCAATCCCCTGTACAAACACAGTAGGTCATAATTTTAGGACTGGTACCAAGCGATAGTTTGTTGTTGTTGTTGTTTTCCAGAATCACATTTGATTTGATTTTACCCCTGGAAATGTAGGCTAGAATTCCAGGAAGGCAAGAGCATCAAAAACATACTTAATTAGGAAGATGAGCTCAGCGCTTAGTCAGATTTCTTGTCCACGACGCAGAGAAGAGCCTCCCCACCTTTGGCTTCTCTCTAAGGTAGGAGGAATTTGAAGCCTGCGAAAAAGCAAAGCTCGTGGCAGCAACATCAGATCAGGAGCAGAAGCCTGCGCTGGGGAGACAGCTCAGTCAGTAAGTGCTTGCTTAGCAAGCATGAGGGCCCGAGTTCAATTCCCAGCAGTCACGTTACATGTTAAAAGCTGGACAGGTGTGTGCCTGTGGCCCAGGTGTGGGGGGTGCAGGGACAGGTGGACCTTTGAGACTTTCTAAGGCCTAGCCTAACTGATAAGCCCCAGTGAGAGGTTCAGTCATGAGACATAATAGCCAGACCTGGGTAACAATGCTTGCAGCTGACTTCCAGTCTCCACACAGATGTGCACACGTGTGTATGCACACCTACATACAGATGGGAACACACATACAACACGAACACACTGGAAGCCTGACTGAAGGATGTCCACCCTAACTGAGATCCAGTCTCTGCCATAGCCCCAGATAGCCTCTGCTAAGTCATTGGTGGGCTGTCTTCCCCCACACTTAAAAAGGGCAACGAGGGACCAGGCATGGCGGAGTACATCTGTAATCACGGTGCCCAGTGGAGACTGATGGAGCCCTGGAGCTTACTGGCCAGTCAACTTAGCCTACTTAGTGAGCCCTAAACCAGTGAAAGACTCTGCTCCAAAAAGAGGGTGGATGGTGCCAAAGGATGTCCATTGACCTCTGCATATATGTGCACTTTTTGCACATGTACTTACACAAGAATACACACACACACACACAGTCTTAAAGCCCCCACGCCTTCTGCACTTCTTTGGTCCTTTAAGAGGGGCCAGTGTCCTGTCAGGATGCTCAGATGGCGTTATGGAGAAGCCCTTATGGTGGAGACCCGAGGACGGGTTGCCAGCCAGGGCAACGAGGCAGCCAAAAGTACATTCCTGAGCCTCAGCCAAGCCTTCTAATGATCACAGCAGGCATTTTGACAGCAACCCCCTGAGAGATCCAGAGCCAAAGCACCCAGCTGGGCTACTATCAAATTCATGACCTGCAGAAACCGTGCGACTTGCCAGACACCCATCGTCATCCTCTGCTCCCCTATTACGATGCCACCTGAGGTGCCACAGCTGAATCCAAATACCTCTGCTCCTGTGAGAACTGGATACCGGTTCTGGTAGAAAGTGTTGCCAGCCTCTTAGCATGGTGTAATTTCTACAGTACCACCCCCTCCTGCTGCTAGTGTCCCCTCCTGGAATACCAAGGGCAGAAACCTGCCTTTCTGTTCCTCTTTCTTATACTATCAACCACTGCCACAGGCTAAGTAGATGCAATCACGAAAATGTGTCACTCATGCATGGGCACACATGCACACAGCCTTCTCTTAACACCCATCCCCGACAGCCACCCAAGCATGGAGGCTGTGAGCATCTCTCTGTGCAGGGATGGCTGCTCCAGTGTTTCACCCACTGTTTTCTCATGCAGCCTCTCAGTGATTGGGCAGCGAAGCAGGGAGCATGACTGCTGGGAACCGAGGGACGTTCCTCTGGTTGTTTCCTAGCTGGGGGAGTGACTGTGGGAGAAGGAAGACATAGTCACCAGCCTCTGCCTGCCAGAACCCGTTTCAATAGTACAGAGAGGGGGTGGGGTGATAGCACCGTTGGTAAAGTGCTTGCCTTACAAGCAGGAGGACCTGAGTTCGGTCCCCAGACCACACACACAAAACAAACAAACAAAGCAAGACAGAATAACCTGTGTATGGTGTCCTGAATTTATAATCTGAGCTACTGAGGGAGGCTGAAATAGAAGGTCTCAAGAAACGGCTCACCCATGAGGCTAGTTGAATCAGCGAATTCTGGGCCAGCAAGATGCCCCGTTTCAAAAACCAAAGGTAGATGGCTCCCAAAAAGGAACACATAGTCACACAAAATAAATAATCTCAGATGCAATCCCCCTTGGCTCACTTTGCCGAACCCAATCTTATCACCCCAGAGGAGGGAGGCCTACGGTATGACAAACCCATAGAGAATTTATGAGCGTAGTAGCACGACGGAACTGTGTTAAAGAGAATGAGCATCGTGTCAGAACAGATGCAGCCTGGTCCTGGAGAGGCCACACGGTGAAGAGTCTGGAGAACTGGGGCCTCCATGTAAGACATGGATCCGATATCCACAGCTTCTTCCTTCCTCTTTGAGATGGGACCAGGGAGAAAGCACGGAGTTCGGGATGCCCTGTGGCATCTTCCCAGGCTAGGGTGGGCCACGAGAGCTGAGCATGGGATAGAAAGAAATAATGGGAACTGAAGGGAGAGGGCACTGGGCGGGAGCAACTTGTTCCTTCAGAGCCAAACTGGATGGGCTGGAAAATGGCATTACAGTTCGAATCTGAAATGTCCCCCACAGGGTCATGGTTTCCATTCTTTGATGACTCCATTTTGGGATAGTATGGGATCTGGAGAAGACAAGTCACTAGAGTAAGGTCCTTGGGGGATATGATATGATATGATATGATATGATATGATACCGGGCCCCTTCCTGTTTTGCTCTCTGCTTCCTGTCCCTGTAAAGCGAGTGAACATCTCTCCTGTGCCATGTGCTCCCACGGCCATGATGTCCTGTCCCAAACACACAGAGCGAGGGACCATCTGAATCCTCCGAGACAGTGAGCCAAAATGAATCTCTCTTCCTTCAAATTGTTCCTGTCACCTATTTTTGGCACAGCCAAATAAAAGGTAATTATATACTCATAGGCTATGTGCTGGATGAGGAATGCCAGAGTAAAGCTGAGAGATGAGAAAAAAGACTGCTAATCAATCTTAGGAAAATGTATTTACTGGGGAGAGGAGGAACTTCTCTTAAGAAATCAAAGACATACTATGTTTTGATTGAGCTTGTATTTTTTTAAATTTACTTTTCCCTGGTTTTTATTTTGTTTTTTCTCTTTGTTTGCTATTAGTTCAGTTTGGTTTTCGGTTTTGTGAGACAGGGTGACACCCTGCAAACTTTGTAGCCAATACTGGCTTCAAATTCATAGCATTCTTCTTGCTTAAGCACTAAGACCACTCTGCCCATCTTCAATAGTGTTTTAGACACCTAAAAAGAAATGCAATTCAGTTGAATTTGACAACTTATCTGGCTCGTGTTTTAAAAGCAAACAAACATTAATAACCCATTCCCCCAATTCCATAACCATGAAATAATAGTCATGTCTTAAAATAGAGAAGTGATGTAAAAGTGATTTAGTGACACTCTAATAATTAGAATGTAGGCGTCAGTAATCTCCAACAAGAATTTACAAGACAGAAATTGACGGCATTGGAAACAGGCCTTTAGATAAGACCATTGTGTCATATGAAGTGCATCAGTAAGTGACAGGATCCAACACCAGTGACCAGGAACCCAATCGGTAGGGAATCTCTTGGGATTGCCAGGTTTGGGCTAGCAGCTACTAAGGCCAAGTTCACCTGCGCCCATGCACATACACACACATTCTCTCTCTCTCCCCTCAAAACTGCTGTAGAAGAAATGAAAGCCACCATGCTGTGACTGCCTATGAATCCCCAATCAATCCTCACTTTCTCAGAGGAAGTTCACTAAACACTCTAAGCAATCAGATACAATGGTAACCACATCCCATATGATGGACACACTGAAACTGGGGGGATCAGCTCCTGCCGCTGAGGACAGACAAAATCTGACTACGAGCATATACTACAGCACAGCCCTCAGCAACTACATGCCATGGGACCACCTCCACTCTGCCTCATGGAACTGAATTTTCTTCAGAACTCCTCTCATACCTGCTCGCCTACAGCATTAGGAACTCTCCCAGTAAACGTCTTACCTACAAGGCCAACCTGCCTCAGTGTGTCTCTTGAACCCCTAAATGGAGAACGTTCAGGGGTTTAGCTTAAAACAGTAATTTTCATAGATAACACCAATGCCCTCTTTTTAAGGTTCCAGGACAAAGCCCCTCATGAGTTGGAGATGGAAGAATTTGCCTCCCACAAATGCAAACTCTCTCTGCTCCAAGGAAACGATGTGAGGAGAGGAGACCACTCACTTCTCCAAACTCTAACTGAGCACAGGGCAGACGTCAGCAGAGACATCTGATTCAAAGGGCACTTATCATTCCAGTCCAAGAGAGTTCACTTCGGTTTGGAGAGACACTCCAGACTGTATAGTCAAAGTTCATTCATCCCAGAAAATGCATTACTGCAAGACTGAATCTTACATGAGCATCCCGCTTACCTGCCAGAAGATGCTGTCTATCGTATTTCCAAGGAAACCATCACGACCTTCTGATGACACTAGCTTGGGCCCAAGAATTGTCATGAATTCATCAAAATCCACCTGCCCATCTCCTGCAAGGAGGAAAGAGGTATGAGTGAAAAGGTACCATAAATGTGATCGATGGCCCCTGATGCAGGAAGCAACTCTATGTTTTTCTCCTTGGCATGACCTAAATAAAATAAAAAGAGCTGGTGATGTAACTGAGAATTGTTTAACACTGTTTAGTTTCTTCCCTAATACTGGGGATTGAACCCAGGTGCCCAAGCAACCTATGCCACAGCCCCAGTCCCTCACTGGGGGATTCTAGGCAGGTGCTCTACCACTGAGCCACACCCCAGCCCCTCACTGGGGGATTCTAGGCAGGTGCTCTACCACTGAGCCACAGCCCAGCCCCTCACTGGGGGATTCTAGGCAGGGGCTCTACCACTGAGCCACACCCCAGCCCCTCACTGGGGGATTCTAGGCAGGTGCTCTACCACTGAGTCACATCTCTAGCTCCTCACTGGTAGAGTCCAGGCAGGTGCTCTACCACTAAGCCACGATCCCACTCCCTTACTGGGTGACTCTAGGAAAGCATTCTGCCACTGAGCCATTACTCCAAGTCCCCACAGAAGGATTTTAGGTAGGTACTTGTCCTGGATAGGTTCTGTTGTTGTTCACTTGAATCAAGCTTCTTTGGGAAGAAGAAACAGTTGAGAAAATGTCCACAGAAGACAGGCCTACAACCAAGCCTGTGAGGCATTTTCTTGCTTAATGGTTGAGGTGGAAGAGCCTACCCCACTGCGGGTAGTACCACCTCTAGGAAGGCGGCCCTGGATGTTATAAGCAAGCTGCTAAAGCACGAGGAGCAGCGTTCCTCCATGGCCTCTGAATCAGTGCCTATCTCCAGGTTCAGTTTCCTGCTCTGACTTCCCTTCATGACGGGACTGTGATCCGAACATGTACGCGGAAATACAACCTTTCTTTCCCAAGTTGCTTTTGGTCATGGTGTTTCGTCACAGCCATAGAAACCCTAAGAGAGTATTCTATACTAAATCAAGTCATATTCCACATAGGCACCCTACCTCTGAGCCACACCCCTAGGCCCTCATTGGAGGATTCTAAATAACTACTCTACAGCTGAGCCACACCCCAACTTCAGTCCCCCCACTTGAGGATTCTATGCAAGCGCTCTATCATTGAGCAGCATTCCTAGCCCTCTTTTAACTTCGTGTTTAGAGACACAGTCTTTAACTTGCAACCCTACTGCCTCAGCCTCATGAATAACAGGCCTTCACTACCAAGGCCTACTTTGTTTTAAAACAAAAAACATCACAAGAAAGTGGAAGTAATTAGTGCATCTAATAGTCTACATTACTGCTCCTCTTGAAAAACAACTTGTAAGATTTTTATTGTTGGCTGTCTTGTGATGCTGAGAAGGACATTTACTTCTGATCATTCCATCTCATTCCACAAGTGTTAGGACCACATGTGTGTGCCATCATGCTCATTTTATTCAGTGGTGGGGCTGGACTTGTGGCTTTGTGCATGCTACATAGAACTCTGTTGACTGGGCTACATTCCCAACCCTACCACAGGTCTTGATTATGTCATTTCCTCTTGTCCCTAACTCAGTCTTGTGTTCCTTTGTTCACACATACAAAGCACACGCTCTTTGATGTTCACAACATGATGAATTTCCTGATGAGACATTTCTCAGTGCTTTCCCCTATCATTAAGCAATTCATGACTGTATTCCATCTTAAATGCCCACCCAGCACGCCCCACTAATCATGACCACACCTCCCATCTACTCCTCCTCTGCACCTCAAATTGTCCAGCCGTACGTGACAGAAGTCACAATTCCGTCTTTGTACTCAGGCATAAACAGTCATTACGTCTAAAGTGCTTAACTCCTTAGATACTTGCTGAGGTTCTCACTCTCATTTCTCCAATAGATAACTCCCTTTCTAACAAGCTTGGTGGGATAATGCTTCCAAGAATCAACACTTGCATCACACTACTGCATCCATACCATCTTTCATAGAGTTTGAGATTACTTCTCCCAAAGCAAATTCAATACTAACCTGAGTGGTATTTTGACCTAAAACCAAGAAAAACACCTCCGCATAATCCCCAAGTTTGCCTATTTCTCTTGTACTCTTGCCATCACCACCATTGCATAAAAAGCAACATATCTCTTTCACGGTTGCATGTACCTGCTGTTACATCCCTTGGGGATGCCTTTATCCATGGTCTTCCTGGCACCTGAACACTTCCTTGTTCTCAGAAGAGGAGACACAGTGCTCAGTTGTTGTTTTATTGTTCTCCAGTCATGGCTTGCATGACTCCTACCTGAACTGAACTATGTAGGGCAAGAGATCAAATCAGCTGAATAACTATATTTCCTCTGAAATGAAACATTAAACATAGAGGAAGTCAACAAAACTTACAAGGCACAGAAAGCCCCTTGAACTTACAGCACTCAAAAAGATCCCTCCCAATGTTATATAAGCAGTAGCTAAGCCAGGGCAGGACATGTTTCCAAGTGTTAACCAAGTGCAGGGAGTTTCAGGGATGAAGTTTTTATGAGTCATCGCCCATGCTTGGCAGACTTTTGGTGATGCAGCTGTCTTTGAGTCACCCATGCTCCTGTAAATAATACCAATAAACTCACTGGTTCACAAACGTAGACTACACTAGGATCATTGATTTGTTATCTGTGCTCTATTTGGGACCCATAGACACCTGTTCACGTCTCACCAGGAAAAGTCATCCGGAACAGGTATTCAGTTTGTTCTTGTAGAATGAATAAGTGATGTCTCTGGATTGTTTTCCCTTTGTTCATCTAAGCATCACTTGGATTTTTTTTATGCTACAGATGATGCCAACCAAAAGACCAAAGGGAACCCTCAGGGCATGGAGTGATCCTTAGCAAATCGTCAACAGGGCAAGGGACCCTTAGAATTGTTTAAGCTGGTGGCACTACCAATAGCTTTCCACATCCTTACCTTAGCTCCACTCAGTGAGCACACATATAGTAGTGTGTCAAAATTCAGACCCAGAGATTAATCAACTCAGAGTGTCTGTGCATCCAGAGAGCACTCATTCAAAGCCTATGCCCAAAGGCCAAATGGTTGTCGTCATCAAGATGTCAATAACTCAGTACAGATTGTCCAGAAATACATTTCCTCATAGATGAAAGTCTGGGAGGATCAGGGAGGTGTGGCAAGCTGGCGGGAAAGGGAAGATTAATCTACCAAATGAGGTGGGACAGTCAATGAACTGCTGAGTGGAAATCAATTTTTCTCTCACCATTTGACAAGATAAAGGGAGCTGGAATTTCACCCTTGCTGGTATGCTAAGATTGTGCACACAATGGATTCACAAGAACCATTCAGATTAGCAACTACGTCTAAATAGAAAACTCCCTGATGCTGGCCGAACACAGACCAGATGCCTTCTGATGCATTCCTGGTATATTTGTTCCTGAATGTAAATAGGATCTATCAAGATAGGAAGAGACGGAAGAAGAAGGAAGGGGAGGAGGAAGAAGAGGAAGCTGAAGAAGAAGGGGAAGGAAGAGGAGGAAGAAAGAAAAGAAGCGAGATGAGAATAAAGATTGAGGAGGGGGAAGAAGATGGAAGAGAAGAGGGAAGGAGGAGGATTAAGGAGTTCTGGGCACCAACATCCCCTAAATATGCCCTATAGACACAGCTCAGGTCACCATCCTGACTCGCCCATGGCGAACTCTGACATTCGTAGTCTTTGATCTTCAAGACAGATATCTCTCTGTGTGTGCAGACCTCATGAGATCTTAAAATGTGTCCAGCAGGCCGAGCACTCACATGCCTGCTCATGGTCTAGTGGGCACTCTAGCAAGGGGGCTGACTGGTCCACGCTTCCCAGCCTGGGGAAAATAAAAGTCTGTTTGAAAAATCCACCTTCCATGCAAGACAGGAGGGACCACCTACTTCTCCAACCCCTGTAGAGGATCAGAGGGACAAAACACTGTGCATCTCAAGGATCCTCTGGGAATTCTGGTCCCACCCACTACAGTACCAGGTAGCGTTCACAGGTAGATGCTATTTTGGGACAAAGGCACCCTCTGACCAGCAGAAGTGATGCTTCTCAGGTCTACCTTGGCCCAGGGGGAAAAAATGAGCAGCTCATTCGCCACTTAAAATCATCGTCTGCCCAGAGGAGCTGGAGAGATGGCATAGTCATTAAAGTGCTTGCCTTGCAAGCATGAGGATGCCAGTTTGGGTTCTCATAAAGCATGGCTGCATATAATTCCAGCCTGGGAAGGTGATCCCCAGAGCAAGTTCAACACACCCTTGCACTCCCAACATGCAAGAAACACACACACACACACACACACACACACACACACACACACACACACAGACACACACCTAAATAGCTGGCTAGGAAGATGGTTTAGTGGTCAAGAGCACCCACTGTTCTTCCAGAAGGCTTGAATTCAGCCAGCAGCAGTCAAATCAGGTGGCTCACAACACCTGTGGATCTGGCTCCAGGGGTTCTTGCGCTCTCTTCTGGACTCTGAGAGCATCTGCAAGCCTGTGCACCCACACACAAATACACATAATTGGCAAACAGAATAGATCTTTGAAATGAATAAATCACTCTTACCCCTACAGGTTTTGCTTAATTGTTTAAAAGAGTACCCTATGGATTTTGCTTATTCATCTAAAAGAGTAATAATAAGATAGTTGTTTGGCATTTTCTGGATGCCCAGAAAATGGATATTACATAAATTTATTTCAACTCCAACCCTATGAAGAATTCTCCCAATTCACATCTTACCAGTGGTAAAAGTTAGGCAAGAAGGGGTTAAAAGCAATGAGTGAAAAGATCCCAGAGAGACAGCACAAGGCAGAGGAAGAGCTCAACTAGGAACCCCAGTGCTAACTCTGTGTCAGAGACCCCAGCACACCACCAGGGTAAGGTTCATATTGCTTTCCAGAATTTGAGAGTTGTAATGTTTTCTTCTCTTAGCCCCGAGGAAAGGTTTTGATGAGAAACTGGGAAAGGTGACCTTTGGGAACTTCAATGTAAATGACCACTGTCT